TAAGCTGAAAAAAATGGACACCCAGGGACAGATAAAACAACAAGCGATCGATTTACCAAACTAAATTTAAATAAAGATCTAATTAGTTAAATAATCCTAATCATTCGGTCGTAAATACGCTTTTCAACAAACATACACGCTATAACATACCACAAACACCAAACTGAGTGATGCTTCGGAACCTCACTTCTTTGACTCCACTTAAAACTCAATTTAGATGACACTGAGTTCGTTGTAATTATAATTATAATTATAGCATAGACCTTTGATGGTGGACAAAAGTCCTTTTAACGGGTTCTTCGTAAACGTAAGATACGCTTTCGACTTGTAACGTTCACTTACGGACGTATTAGATAAATCTCTTATTGCACTTCTTCATAATCTTTACAATTAAACAAAGCTGACTGTCTCGATAACGAAAAAACTGACTGTTTTGAGAACAAAAGCGATCAAATATGGTTAAGTTTCAACGTCCAAAAAACTCGATTCATGTCTTCCACCAGAAAAGAACCACCAATAAAGCCGGGTACGCTTTTTAAAAACCTTCCCTTCTCTTTCCACTTACTTACCCCTTCCTTTACAAAAATAATGCGTCGTCTTAGAAATCTGCACTTGTGTTAAACTTCGGCGATAACCGTCCTTATCTTGAAACTAATTGGCTTACGCAGTGTTAAGGAAATTCTTGTCTACCACCAGAGATAAACTTTTACAAAAACTACGCACATAATACCTAATTGAATAAGCCTACTATTATGAGAAATTTAACAAGATTTCTATTAGAATGTTGGATCATCCCTGAGGGGCAAATTCTGGAAAAGATTGCTTTGCTACGCCCACTACTACGTGGGAATACACGAATTTGTCGAAAATATTGAGAAAGGTTTTTGGGAGAATACTGGGAAAGCTTAGAGGAGACATTCTGAAGATTTTTGTGATCATGAGAAAATTCTCGAGAAATCTTTACCGTAAATGTCTGCATGATCAATAAGAAAGATTTCCGCGTTCCGTTGTACTAAGTAAAAGGGTACTTTCCGAAATGGATAAACAACTATATCAAACCTAAGAAAATTCGAGAATCCAGTAGGTAACTAATAAAAATGCGGCCCTTAGAGAGGTTTGAGGGAATCTTCTCGTAGGAGAGTGGTGGAAAATCCATGGCTTACAAGAAGCCTTGGAAGCATTCTGAGGGAATGATGAGGAAATCTTGAGGAGGTTCTAGATGTGTCATGTGAATCTTGGAGTCTTAAGAGCATAGTCTGTGGAGAGGTTTTTTGTATTTGTTTTGTAACTGAATTTATTTTAATTTAAAAAATGCGCTTTTTGTTCGATCTCTCTGTCGTCCGCCGATTCGGTGCCACTTCTACGGCAAGCATATAAATAACCTTTACATGCGGCCTATGTTTTACAATCTTTAGAACATGATTGACTTTTAACCTATTTTCTTTAACTGAGTATTGCAAACATAAGGTTTCCAAAACTGTTTCCTTGGTAACATTCTCGAAGTAGTGGCAGTGTATGAAACCAACGTTTTAGTTCATAATTTCGTCATAAATGTTCCATAACATAACAATTAACAATGAAATTACATGGAACGTATCAAGCTTGACTTTGGAACTACATCAGCTAGAATTGTTTGGATAGCTAAAGAAACCAAGAGCGACATTATAAGTAGATATGCATTTATTTTCCAAGTACAAACTAACAACAAGTGCAATAGTTCACGCATAATGTTGTTCTTGTGAATATATTGTGAACAGTAGGCACTCAGCTACCTTTAGAGCCGTTTTACTCACACTATTGGCCATTGCAGTATTTTTGCAAGTGTTGAACACTAAATCTGCAAGTACAGGGTTCTGAACACCAATATACTTCATTAGGTTTTGTTCGTTTAGTTGGCCGTTAGGATACAAAACACCCAAGTTGAGCATAAGGCAGCTAATAAACAATCCCATTTCTTCAGTTTCTTGAAGATCGCCCGTTTTAAAAAGCGCATCTACCGCGCTAGCCTCAACACCGGATTCTCGAATGCATACATCCCTGTAAGGTGCCGCATACGTTTCATAATTTTCAAGTGCCGTGAGGAACAACTAAAATTTGTTTCGTTAGAGATATTATTGCCATTTTTTACTTACATTCGCTGACGCTGATTGGCATGCCAAAACGACGCCTGCTAAGAACAGTACAATTTTCATCTTTTTTGAACTGTGCAGAAAAGCCTATTTTGGTTCGTTTATATATTTGCGATAACACTGAGAAATGGAAAATCATTTCAATTAAAAATGCCATTTCCTTTACCACATAATTATTGGTTTCAGTAATTTGGTGTTGTGATTACAGATTTAGACATCGTAATCTAAATTTGTTGTAAAATTTGAGCCTTAATTTTTTTAATCTTGTGCATTTGAGTGATGAAGAGTTCTTCTTTTTTGAGTTGTAAATCCTTCACAATAGAAATGCTCAAAGACAATGCAAATGCACTTTGTAATACAGAATAAACGTCTAGGCGGACATAAGAGTAAAATAATGGTAGATCTAAAATAGAACTGAAACTAACTTTAGAATTTAGATGGTCTAGCGTCATCCGATTTTTATTGATCTCTAGGTGATCGCTGACGAACTCTCGCCCTTTAAACCTCTGACGTAAACGATTTTCGTTTAATTTGAGCACTTAACACGTGACATGCTTCCAATATAGGAATTACCTACGTGAACGGAAAAGGTGATATTCTCCTAAAAATATGAATTTTCATATGCAACCAAAACAATAATTTCCATTTAATATGCGTGCGTGTAGAATGTATATGCTCGACACATTCGAATTAAGCCATTATTTGACAGCTCAGGGATCGCAGTATTATAAATAAATGAAAATGAAAAAGTATGAGAGGGTGCTAACGCTACGGTCCCACTGGAAAACTCCTTTAGGTTATATGCAAATATGTGGACGGTTCAAGTAGATTATTGTGCACTTGCCTTCTACATTCTCATTTTCGAAAAATGAAAGGTTGCATCAAACATAAGGATAGATTCTCAAGATCTAAATCTAAGGCGTTGGAAGGACCTATTTAGAAAACCAATTTTATGCTAATTCTGTCATTCAATAGAAACTGTTCTAATAAAAAAACTTTTTTCATATTGATGTTTAATCGCAGCTTTTACCCAATTTAATACCACCAACATAGTGGCAGAGCGTGTAAAATTGCCGTAAAATTCTTTAAGCGAGTCTGATCTAACAACTGGAGCACGCTTCAGAGTGGGCGTCAAAAATTCAGAACAAACGACACGTCAACAAATTTTGAGTAACCAGGAGAGAACTAAAAGATTTGCGAACCATGCGTGAAAGGAAAACAACCCCGGAGCAGTTTTGGTTCCCGAAATCGGTTACCGCTGAAAAATTGCGGAGGTCGGTAACCGCGAGGTGTGAAAAATATTGAACTCCGATCGACGGGGTCAATTTGGCGGTGTCAAACCCTTATGCGCATGAGCAAAATGGATGCGCTGAAAGAAACAAACAGAACAGTGGTCGATTTGGAACAATGCCTTTCGCGAAAAGCATGCCGAAATCTGTGTGGGCGGAGGCGGTCAACACTGACGTTTACGTTTTGAATCGTACCGGACCAAGTGACGTTGAAGAAGCTCCTTTCGAGCTTTTCATGGGGAAGTGAAGGTGAATTGAAATCGTTTTCATGTTTTCGCGACAGTGTTTCGTGCATGTGCCTAAGAAAAATAGAAATACATGGGGCCCAAAAGTCAAACGAGGATATTCTGACAACATGGACGCTTTTCGTATTTGGTACCAATCGGCAAATCGTATTGTTTGCAGTAAATGCGTTGTTTTGAACCGGAACAGTCTGGAAAATTCGAGGGAAAATTACTGTCATTATTTCCGGGGAAGACAAGAAACGCAGAAACTCAAGGTCTAGAAAACATTCCAAGTAGAAAATGTCAACGATCAACGGAATGGAGAAACGACATCCCAGAAATCGGAAGGACCTCAAAGCACCAAACAGGTTGTTGTATGCAATTCTCTCCGAAGTTGTGGAACTAAAAAGTTATAACGAGGCCATAAAATCCCCGGAAAAGGTGAATTGGGTGCCCGCCATGAACAAAGAAATGGCAATAAAAATTCGCCGTGGAAACTCCCGGAAAAGTGAAAATCTATTTCCACTCGCTGGGTATATTGTGTGAAAGGCGATTCTGACGGCAATGTTTCTCCGTTTAAGGCGCGTTTAGTGGTCAGAGTATTCAGTCAGCGAGAAGTTACCTATTGATTATAATGAGACCTTTAAGTCTCGTGGCATTCGGATACTTTTGAGTATTGAAGCTAAGGAAAAATTGGAGCTCGCTCAATTTCACGTCAAGACTGCATTCTTGTACTGGGAAATTGACTAAGAAATTTACATGGTTATCAAGGTGAAAGTCTTTATGATTTAAAACAGTCCTCCAGATGCTGGAATGAATGGTTCGAGGATGTTTTAATTTCATTTGGTTTACAGGTGTACAGGTGTGTACAGCTGACCTATGTCTATGTTACCGTACTTCCAAAAATGAAAAATTGATCGTCGTTATTTACGTGGACGGTCGACTGGTTGCTGCAACAAGAAAATAATCTGTCGATAAATTCGTCGGAAAACTGGAAAAAAATTCAAGATGACATCCGACAAACTTCGCAGTTTCTCAACATTCAAATCAATCAACTCGAAAATGGAACAATTTTTGTCTGTAAAACACCGTATTTTCCAATTGGAAAATTCGAAATGGCGGTAGCAACACCAGTTCCTGCGACAATTGACAGATGTCCATTAACAGGGGAATACATAAAGTTTGAATTGACTAAAGCCCCTTATCGAGAGGCTGCAGGTCAGTGGTAAAAATGATCCTGAAATATTTGAAGGAATTGGGTTCCATTACAAAGATGTTGGGTAGGCTAATGGCTAACCAGGCGGATGGTACAAAATCACCTGGTAACTCTGACCACACTACGAACTGGTAAGTCACTCCAGAAGCGACTATCATAGACTAATTTCATTTAAAATTAGCTGAAAGGAAGTCGTCCAAAAGGGTTATCGCAACCCCAGCCGATATTCCCCTTTACAACCATCTCTAAAATAAGAAAACGCAGGTGGGCAAACTGTTCCATAAGGCCAAGAAAAGCAAGAAGGCCGATTGGGAAGCCTATAAGGTAAGCCTAAGACTACATAAAAAGGACAATAGGAGGCGTCAGAGAAAGAGGCGTAGAAGTTTTTGTAGCTCTATAGAATCCATATCCTCTGCATCACGCCTAAATAAAATTCTAGCGAAAAGTTAATATTATAACCCAGCTAGTCTCATCAGACGAGAAGGTGGTACTTAGTCAGAGCCAGTCGAGGTACTGCGAGACTCCCCCTTTCTCGGAGCCGCCACAGAGAGAGATAAAAATTGTCTTTATCCCTAAACCTGACAAAGATGATTACATCGAAAGCATACCGCCCAATCAGTTCGATATCTTTTCTTCTTAAGACACTTGGAAGACTGTGATAGATATGTAAACCTCTCGCCAGGAAAGATTGCAGGTCACAGAAGACCTGATCCCGGTCTACAATCTGTGTTTTTCTGAAGACATGAGCGACTTCCAGGATAGGATCGTGCCAATGTTGAACGAAAAGTCTTTTAGTTCAACATTGGCACGATCCTACTCCGGACGTCGCTCGCATCTTAAAAAAAACATAGATTGTAAATTGACACAAGGGGTGCTGTGACCGGCAATCTTTCCTGGCGAGAGTTATATTTAAACAACACGGCGCTAACACGGTTTCCGCTGCACCCTAACCAACACGCATACTCCCCAGGAAGATCTACAGAGTCAGCCCTGCACTGCGGATTGAGAGGTCGCTGGACTATAAACAGTGCAAACTGGGACTACGAGTATACATACATATAGAAGGGGCTTTTGACACAACAAGGAGGATCTTCGAGCTCCCCTGCCATTCCAAAAACACCTCCAATTTTCCGAGTCAGTGAATTATCTAGTAATCATGCTTGACAAAAAGCTGAATTAGAGCAAACATATCCAGCTCAAAGCTGCGCATTTGGAGACTTTGTGGAACATCCCCGTAGACTGTTTTGTCATTGTACTGCCCTGATAAGATCTATGCTCTGCTCTGCTATTGAGCAATTTTCTGGTGGAATAGAATCAGACTGTCCACAACCATAGCAGTTCTTAACTGCGTGCAAAGACATGTGTGCCTTGCTTGCACGGGCGTGATGCGAACAATTCCCACAGCAGTTTTGGAGGCCTTTCTGGGTCGACTTCCACTAGATCTCCACGTGAGCAGGCCACTCTGGCATACTTGCGTTCAAAAAATAAGGCATTGTTAAATATCAGAGGCACTGAGGTGGGCCATTCTCGAATTCTGGGCGATCGGACTCATTCCCTCCTCAATTCATGTGGCATGCCAACCAGAAATATTCATTTTCACGTATGGATCTAACAATGGAAAGAACAGGCGCTGGTATTTACTCCAAAAAATTGGACTTCCATATCACTTGACCACTAGGCAAACTTCTTACCGTATTCCAATCGGTGTTAGTAGGACTAATGCTCAGGGCAAGAGAAGACTTCTTATGCATAACATAAGAACAAAACTATGAGAATCTTCAGTGACAGCAGGGCTACCCTGCAGGCACTTCGTCACTGTAAAATTACCTCTGGGTTGATTTCCATATGTAACCTTGAACCATGAACCTGAGGTTACTCTTGAGCATACTTTCTGGGCACTGCAAACTAAACAAGCACATACAGCGCTTTAGTCCAACTGAGATGATCCGTGTTGGGGGTCTCCTGGTCGGGAATGGTTACAATAAAAAGCATTATGCGGATCACTCTGTAATTGGCCACAAGTCCGTTGAGGGCCCAGAACAAGTGAGGGAAAATAAATAAATAAATTAGAGCCGCCTCCCCTTCCCACATCTTTAGGTTGATCTCACGTGTGGGATGGCTTGCGTGGCGTTGAGGGGTCGAACGACTCTAGTCAGGGTGGTAGTACAAAGTGCCCGAAATTGAGGTCTAGGTACCCCCCTATTGTAATCCAAAATTCAGATACATCAAAAAGCTTCTTTAAAAAATTTTGTTTTGTAGATATATTCTGTATTCAGGCAAAATTTTCACCCTGCATAATGACGACTGCCAAAATATAGAAGCAAGAACCAGAAGGACCACAAAGAAACTGTGGCGTGTACTGATAAATGGATTGAAGCAATGCAGGCAGAGGTACTAACATACAAGATATTAATCGATATGGTACTGTAGACAAAGTAAAAGACTGGGAATCAAGAGCTACTCACAAAGTGAAAGTGCGGACTGCGATCAAACCTGTAGTACTGTGGCAAAAAGTGGTACATCAGATCCCTAATCCGCGTTGCTGCGAATAAAAACATATCGGACGACACAATTTGATACCTATTTCCACTGCATTGCTTTACGGCGAACACGAAGAAGTGCTATGGTTTGTAGTCTTTGCCGCAGTTTATATGTTTTGAAACAAACTCCATGAAGGGCCTGGAACGAACGTTTCACGTCCTACACACAAAGCCTTTGAGATGGATGATGCTGAATACTTATTTGTGAAAAAAATTGGTGATATGAAGTCTTGTCAAGTTAGCACAAACCTTGTTTAAGACTTCTTGATAATAGAGATAAATAGAACAAAAAATTATGAAATAAACGTCTGTGGGAATGAATGAAATTAATGATTTGAACCATGCCATGCACATTGAATTGATGAACGTGTTTCTAGTTGTCAGATCTTAGATCCTGATGGATATACATTTTTCTGCAAGCCCAAAATTTAGTAGAAACCTTCTTTTCCTTATAGATCTGCAACAATTTTTTGCCTTGCTAAATTTTACAGGCAACATAATGGTCTTAGCCTTACATACTCTTTGCATTGATGGCTCTATCTCTGTTTCTGGTGGTTCCTTCCTACATTTTCTATAGTAGAATTGAGTTTGTGGTGGTCAGATCTTGGTGGCGAAAATTGAATTCTGGTCGATCTGCTGCAACTGTTGTCGTTTTTAAATTTTAAGGGAAAGGAAATCGTAGTAGTGTTGTCAGATTGTAAAGGATAAAATTTTTTTGGGGTCTAACGGTCTAAATGTACTAGAAATCATCTCTTTCAGGTCGATTGCGACAACTTTTGCTAATCTTTAAAGGGGTAGGAATGGGTTTAGCGTTACATACTTTTCTACCTAATGGCTTCTGATGGTCAGAATGACTGTAGACTCGTTAAAACGCCGATGCTGAAAGAAAACCTCCAATCAGGGAAGGAAAATAGTGAATAAGATTCAACAATGTCGTTTTTTCCATACAGAGGAACTGTTGGATTCCAGACCAGATTTAGCATACGATGTGAGTATTGTATCTTGAGGAATGGAAGATCCAACCAATATTGGCTGTTAAAAGGTCAATGAATTTTCCGCTATCTTCAAAGCACATTAGAGTTAAACCAACTCTACAAGTTTGAGGAAATTAGGAACGACTTAGACTATGATGCTGATGAAATAACATGCCTTTCAACATCATGCCATGCATTCAGGGATTAACGGTAAACGTCTGAGCCGAGAGAAATTATTGATATGACCACACATTCCAATGAGAGATGGTGATTATAGTAATTTTGGATGAAATGAAACGTCATGTAAAAAATATAGTACGTTTTTAAGTACTAGTTCACTTTAAGTGGAGTCTGTTGAATACGTATGGCCACACTTAGGTACGTATTTTTATTTCAATTTACTCCGCCTCCCTCACCCTTGAGGGCTGAACCCCACAGTTTGAGTAACGTTTGCTTATGTCTTCGTAAATTAATCGACAAAACATGTAGCACTATACTGTGTTTCTGTACTGCTGACCGGCGTATTACCTAAAGCAACAAAAATAACGGTGTCCTTCTTCTTTTAAAGTTCATCTTGAATGGCCCTGAATCAGTTTCCAGCTAAATTCACTTCCGGTTTGGAATAGTAGCGTTCGTTGCAATTTAGTATGCCATTAGTTATATTGTTTTACAGCTTTTGTGTAGGAAAGGGACATTTCTATCCAAAGACATCTAAATGTAGACCGGAAGCACCATGTAGGTAACATGGTCAACTAAGTACACATAGCATTCTTTTCACTAACGTTTACTAAGTAGTGTATTGTACATAATTCGATAGTCACTCTTACATAAAATTAAAATAAATTAACTATTACGAGATATAATTATATTAAATAATTTAAAACTCAACTAATTCTCACGGCATAACAATTAACAATCATTACCATTAAGGGAATCATTGCGTAAATAATAATATTCCAAAAAGCGATTCCGGTCTGGAATAAAATTATTTGGATTAATAACCTTTCATACACACACACCAACAGTTTAACTTTTAGTAACTTTTCAAGAGCTGTATAAAATCATCTAAAAACTGCAACTAGTAAAGAAAACTCTCTTCGGCTATGCTCGTACATATATCACACAAGGAAAACAACGCAACGGTTTAATACCTAAAATAAATTATAGGGTGGCAACAATTGTCTCTGTTAAAATTGAAGGATTTGGTTGATCCAGTCTCTAAATTCACTTATTCGCGTGTAAACGCCAGGCTGGTTGGGTTCCGCACAACCGATACCCCACGAGATAACACCGGCTAGGAGAAATCGCTTGTCTTCCCGTTGTATTACCATGGGACCGCCCGAATCACCCTCGCACGAGTCGAAGCCTCCCTTTCGCCAGCCGGCACAAATGAAAATGTGGGGAATGTGCTCTATGTACCCCGCCGACCGGTACATCGACTCGCAAACTGTGTTATTGATTACCGGTACTGCGACTTGCTGCAAAACGCTGGGCAGCGGACCATCTGAAACAGCACACTTAGTGCCCGCCGAAAGTGATTTGCGACATACCTTCGTAGAGACGCCCCCAGCCGGTCACGTACGCCGTTCGGCCCACGAAGTTTTCATCGGTGTTCGGTACGCATACCGGAATAATGTTCGGTTGGAATTGGACCGGTTCGTAAAACCGAAGGAGGGCTAAGTCGTACTCGAAGGTGCGCGGATCGAATTGTGGGTGAGCGGCAACTATTTGCACTCTTCTTTCTTGGTGTATGTACGGTTCGCTGTCAGTGGAAAGATCGTGCTCGCCCAAACGTAGAAGTAGATCGCTAGGTGGTACGCTGCAAGAAAAATACGCTTAGTAAAATGATTCTTCTACCTATGGACTAATATAGGTTTATATCTAATGAAAAAACTTAGTTGCAAACTTTTATTACAGAAATTATCGAATAAATTGAGCTAACTGAACAGGTGTTTTGTGGGTGCCGTAGTGATCGCATGCCATTATACATAGCGCCATATTATAAAAAATTATCAATAATTTTTGCATTGTTTAAATAATATTAGTACACAATTAAGAAAGAAACAAATCCAACTTTACAACGTAGAGTAACCATAGAAGCACAATATTTCTACCAAACAAGCCATGCGAATTTATTTTCATGATTACCAGAAGCTCTCTGTCTGGCATCTTTAAAAGGAATGGTTCATTTCTACGTTTTTCAACTCTGCATGTTACTTCCATAATATTGCTTAGCTGCAGCTTATCATCCAGCTCGCTTATCCCTACGTCCGGCAGTGTGTGCATTTTTCTTTGAGCTTTACGACAGCATGCAGCTCTCTTTGTTTATTTTTGTCTATAGTCCAGGGAGCAGCGAATTCGGTTCTGGAGAGACACACATGAAGCTCCCGAGCGAATGACTGTGATTATCTGCATGCTATACAACGTTCTGAAAGGAACACCAAAGCAATATTTGGACAGCGCGAGGACCATCCCACTGAAACCAAAAGTTCTTTCGGTAGTGCTTTTCATCTAATTTTTTGTAATTCCTGGACAACCTGGACGTAATATAAGCTTGTTAAAAATTGTTTTCCGGTCGGGCCCTCTGCAACGCAATTTCAAAATGCCTAATTTTGTTATTGTTTCAAGACCAATCTATACTCCTGTAAATGAATGGCAACTATAGATAGATCACTCTAAATTTCCGAATTAGGCTTTCCTGCAGTCTTTCTAATTTGTAAGGTCTGGAGTAGTATAGAGCAACTTAGGACCTTCAGCGGGGGTATCTCTGTGGGTCACTCTGTAATCGGGCGAAAACTTTTTGAGGGTCCAGAACAAGAGAGACAGCTTGTAATACTGGATTGCTATGTACAGTCATTGACAAAAGTAATGCTTACCTATTAGGTGATCACTATTTTTGCCAATGACCATACGTTTCTACATCTTAAACAGGGTTGCGTTGTGCCCGACTAAATGGGGAGATACAGGGGACCACAACCAGAGATGGGCAGTATTCGATTTTGTAAATACTTTTTAGTATTCAAATCCTTTAAAGTATTCAAATACTTTGTAATTAAATACTTTTTTCTACAACTGTCAAAAAAACCTGTCATTTTCTGACGGATTTCGAAACGCGAAGTACTAGATTTTTAAACGGTTAATTAATAAGTAAGGTTGCTCTTGACAACGTGCGCGAAACCGTCAACAATGAAAATAGTACATTGAAATACAAGTGCAGAAACGGTATTATTGAAAAACGAGTATAAATGTAGGAACACGAGCGCCAGCGAGTGTTCCTATTATACGAGTTTTTCAATGACCGTTTCGGCATGCGTGTTTCATACTATTTTTTCTACGAAAGTGAAAAGTTCTTCTCTAGAAATTAGAAATTTAAACTACTCAGATCACGGCAGAAAATCATGTAGTCTGATCGTAGTTGGATGTTTCAATTGTAAATGATCCAGTAAGCCGGTTGCCATGACAAGACATAATTGTTTGAAAAATCGTAAATTTAAGTCAAACAATTTGTGGCGTAGTGAAGAAGTGTTAAAGATGGATTTTGACGAAACTGAAGATGAAGAAGGTATGTGCACCCCGCCGGACGTTGCGGAAATGGCTAATGCGGTTTCGCATGAATTGCTACCCCAAAAGTCTAAGCAGCGTTTCGGAAAGGAGCGTTTTCATAAGAGAACAAATCGCTATGTTTTTGAGAGAAGCGCCTGATGAAACATTTGTAATGATGAAGGTTTGTGAATTTCTTATTGTATTTTTAAATCATAAATAAGCATAATTTAATTACAGGTTGCTCTCGTCCTTGGAGTGGCTGGAGCTTGCCGTCGGAGCGAACGTTGTAAAATGACTGTAACGTATTTCACAGAACAAGATACAATTTTATTGATACCTAACGATTCCTGACTCCAAGAATCATGTCCCAAGAACGTTTTCTGTAGCAGAAGGCAAAGAAAATTCTACCATTGTCTTATATAACGAAACTGTGAATAAAGCAATACAAAGAGTTACTTCGCATATGTTTATTAGCGTGTAGAAAATGCGTGCAGAAAATATTTTTGCCGCACTAGTGTTTCAAAGACCTGTTTTCACAATCAATTTACCTACAAAAACAATCGTGTTTCTACACTTTCGTAGAAAAAATCTCAAACTCTGTATAAAATCGCATAAGCCGCAGTGAATTGTCACTTTGACAGCGGCAAAGTTACCTTGCACTTTTCCAGCGACAAATGCACTAGTGTTTTTTTCACTTATTCATTTTCGAACCAATAATCGCATTATCCTTTCCCATATGACTAGTTTGACGTCTGTCAATAATTGATTAGTTTGGTGAATTTCTTGTTCGTTAAATTGTTCTGCCGAATTACACTCGAGGTTTGTATTTAAACTGAGTAAATTTGGGTTGTTGCAACTCACTGTTTCCTTTTAGCAATTTAACTCGAAAAACTGTCAACCTAAAAATGCTCCACCTGCGGTGTCGCATTTTTATTAGTTGACAGTTTTTCTCGTCTAATAATTACTAGGTAACAGATTTTCATTACCTAAACAACCCAAATTTACTCGGTAAAATACAAACCTCTTGTGCAATTATAAGTGACAAATGCACTAGAGGTTTTTTCACTTATTCATTTTCGAACCAATTATCGCATTATCCTTTCCCATATGACTAGTTTGACGTCTGTCAATAATTGATTAGTTTGGTGAATTTCTTGTTCGTTAAATTGTCCTGCCGAATTACACTCGAGGTTTGTATTTAAACAGAGTAAATTTGGGTTGTGCCAATTCAAATCTGTTTCATTTTAGCAATTGGACTCGAAAAACTGTCAACCTAAAAATGCTCCACCTGCGATGTCGCATTTTTATTAGTTGACGGTTGTTCTCGTCTAATTGCTAGGCAACAGATTTTCATTACCTAAACAACCCAAATTTACTCGGTAAAATACAAACCTCTTGTGCAATTATAAGTGAAAAAACCACTAGTGCATTTGTCGCTGGAAAAGTTGCAGGTAACTTTTTCCGCTGTCAAAGTGACAATTTCACTGCGGCTTATGCGATTTTTTATACATGAGTTGAATTGTCATTTAAAATTATTCATATATTACCAATCACAAACGGTGCTTCCCAAACAATCTTCTACATCCTCACCAATCACTACTAGAGATGATTCAGAAATAGCCTTATCAATTCCACGCCCTCTATCCGCAACTCCTGCAGCCGTTCTAGGGCGTACCGTTTTCGAATTGCCGAGCTGCGTAGCTCAGATGAGTATGGTAGTAGCTCTAACTTTGGCTACAAGGGTCCTGGGTTCGTATCCCACGTAAGGCATGGCTGTTTGCAATTGTACAGTGGGTGAGTGGGGAGAATAGCTAATTAGCTAACACTCCACCCACTATAAAATAAAGGGAATAAAAAAAATTGTAAGTAAAAAACCAAGGTAAAAACTATAAAATGTGACCATCAAAGCTCCTCCCTCAACCCTCTAGCACAACCGGTAGTCGAGAGGACTTTATTACATGTTGATAGGGGACCTTCTGCTACACATTTCCGAAGGAATTAATAATACATAATATTTACCATTTTTTGGTCTATTCTTAAGCTTAAACTGAACTATTATACCTTTAGTGTGTGTGTTTGTGTTTAATTCAGAAATTACAATTAAGCAAGCACCAAATATCCAATTTTTGTGTGGCATTGGTCAATTTTAGTTTCCTCATATCCGATCTAAATTGCTTAGTGGTGTCATGTGGTCCATTTAAGAGTTTTCCTTCTACACAAATTAAATGGACAACATTCTTTAGATTACAGAATGAAAATCTTGTAGATTTACGGCTTACGCTACTGCATTATCTGAAGTAAACAATTCTTGGAAGCAGTTGGCTGGAACCTCGCTCACAATACGGCAGCTTTGAGACAATGGGCCGTATGAATAAAAGTAAGCAAATGCTTATACTTGCAAAATTCAAAGTAAATACTCGTAAGTGCTCCTTCGCACTGGGCAGGACACAGTGCAGCGCTGCTAAACCATGCTAAACAGACCAGTATGAAGGGGCAGTTACGAGTATTTACTTGAAGTATAAGCATTTGCTTACTTTTATTCATACGGGCCATTGATTAGAAACCAATTATTTCAACACATGGATGGGTAGAAATTGGAGCTATTCTGTGGTCAGCAAGAAGACATTACTCCATTACGACTTATTTTATATAGAGCTACGCTTACAGAACACCTATCCGCAACAGAGAAAAGCTTGTTTAACAGATTCAAAATGTATTTCAGCTAGTAACTAAAGAGATGTTGCCTCAATATCTTTTAAAAATGTAGGAGATGGATTATTTGACATGGCATTTCTTATATGTTTAGGAAGCATTTCTGGATGGTGTTGACCTCTGTGTTGATTCAACATTTTTCTGCACCCTGTATATAGAGAGGGCAGCTTTTAGACCAATCCATTCAACAATAATTGATTATGCCAGCCTAAGGCTGCAAACCAGAGGTGCTGGACGTGTCTGTTTGCATAGATATTATGCCTCATAGCAGACTACTTAACCACAAACTACTTTTTTTATGTGATTAGCTAAACATCAATTTCTTTACATTATAATCCAATACTTACAGTCTTTTAATCTTATCTTAGGAATTTAGATAAATAATAGACATAATAGGTTTACAACAATGATAAGAAAATAACAAGAAACCCGAGTACAATTGATATTAATAACATCTTTAATGGTTTGGTTAGTATTATATGTGTGAAAATTACCTTAAGCCTGACGGTTGCTTCCGAATCGGTATCGTTAAATAATAATATATTCTGTTTCATATTAAAACTTTCTCGAACTCCTAGGTGATAAAATAACGTGCTTTGTTGAACAGGAATCGATAAATCCACAATGGCAACATCTGCGTTATAGAAGCTGCTAACAACATTTGATTCACCGAAATCAAGCTTCTCAAACTAAAAATGACAACGATTACCAAATAATCATCGGATAAAAACACATTTACATACTTGTATATGGTTAATATTTGCACCTACATGCAGGCAAGCTTGGCGAACATCTTCGAGCGCTTTCTTCCTATGGGATAAATTAGTCGTCTGACAAATATCAAGAACACATACGACGTCCATGTGTGTTCGTATACTAATACTACTACTTGAGCTTCCACCTTGAACGGTTCCTGATAAATCTGAATGGGATCCTACACTGTCAGTCATGCTGCGACATTCTAAAATTGATACTAGATTAATTTAGTAACATGATAAAGAAATTTTTACCTGGGTCTGGTTCTAAGAGAACAGTTAATGGAGCAGGCATATCTTCCAATGTACTATTAATTGAAGTACAATAACATTTGTACTTACTATTAAAGCAAACCTCAAGATTGCACTATTTATAAATTACATTTACATAATACCTAATATTTGTCACCTACACGCTTTAATTACAGGTTAACCGTAGTAGAGTATTTTCAAATAGCACGTTTATTTTATCATTTTCTAGTATTTTGTAAACAAGAAATTAAAGAAAATAAAAAATAAATGTTTTGAAAACTTCAATTTGACAGCGTCTTCTTTATGACATCTAATATGTGCGCACATTCCACGCCCTCTTTGTGAAACGTCAAAAGTTCTGGGAAATTTGAAACTATAAATCTGATGATCATAAAAGTAATCCCGTAATAACCGAATAACATTTTCATTTTTGTTTTGTAATGGCAATAAAGCAATCATTTTACCCAACAAGAATTCCGAAACCGTGTTAGTTAAAAACTAGGGACCTATTGTGGAACAATATTATAAATGCATGCCAATTCGGGAGGTTGTGGGTTTTGTCGGAGGGTTTTGTGTTTTCCTCAGACGTACGTAGCTTCGCAATGTTAGAATTATGTTCAAATCTACGAGGCGAATGCTGGAGCATTACTTTTCCCTCTCAGCACCCACTCCATTCCTTCCGTTCCCATCCTTAACTTTGCCCGCCATCCTTTACATTCCCGTTCACTGGCTGAAGAGGGTCAGGAAACCCTGAGCAGCCGCCTCCGGTGTCCCTCAGGGTGTCGGGGAAATGAAACACGTTTTTTACCTTTTTGATGCATGCACTAATAGATCGTTTTGCATTTGCGAATTAAGGCCGATTTATTTTGTCGCCCACGTTCGCGCTGGCAGTTCGTAGTTCACCAAAGATGTTGATCAATGGAAAAAGAGACTTTGACAGTTTCACTTTGACACTAATTTGCGCGCCAAATGGGTACTCTTTTTCCATTGGTCAATATCTTCGGTTAACTAGTTTTAGCTAGTTTTATCCTTCATGGTACTCTAATGAAAGGTCTCAACGAAAGGAATTAATTGCTACCAACCATAGCCCTCCTCCTCAATCTCTTATCGTTATCGGGTATATTAATTCCCTTATACCTCAAGAACGGATTGTCGGAAGAGCGTACTCACAAAGGGCGATGAGATGTTCGTGATGTCAAAATAAAAGATATTTCGTTTAAAAAAATTATTTTTTTTTTCATATAGGTACCATAATTTTACACTTTTTTCGTTGATTTTGAGGATCGTTAATAATTTTCTATTGTCTGTCTGTTGTCTATCTGTCTGTTCCGTGTGCACGATAACTTTGTTTAGAATCGTCGGATCGCTTTGAAAATTGGTACGCATATTGAAAAAAATGCAAATGCTATACATTACATCAATTGGTGTATTTTACACATGAATTAAGGGTTGCTATATCGCCGATCACAAGTAATTGTAAAAATTAGGTACTATACGCACACATATTGTTGAATTAGTTCGGTTAGTTTGGTATAATGTTCATATTATATTTTGTACGTAATACCTATGACAATTGTTTTATAAAGGTTCAATAAACTAGTTTTGTACTTCTATCAAAACAATGTGGTAAAGAGTTGATGATGAGTGCTTACATTTAAAAAGTCTAAAAAAGATTATCAGTGGAAATAATTAATTTCTCAAAAATAAATTGTAAATTATCACCATCGCCATAGTATAATTTACAAATAAAAGTTGTAAAATAACCACCAACTGCACTAGGTATTGTGAATATAATGCGATTTTATAATATTTCTAAAAAAATATTGTCATTTATACAATCAGTTTTTGTGCCACTTTTACATCATAAATTTGTAGAACTTTTGTTATTGGTGTTGTAGATTTTATTTCAAAATTCTAGATACTGAGTGTGTATATATACAGTGTGTCCCATATCGCGTGGGATTGCATGGGTAACTTTCTTATTATTAAAGATAGAGAATTGGTTAAATGGACATTGTTTTGCAGATGCTTATTTAAAATTTTCTTGGGGAAATTCAAAATGTCGAATAGGTTCGACGTAAATTCAAAAAAACATAGAATTGGTCATTTCCTTTAATGTCTTATATCATCGAAAGCACCTTTAAGATTAGCGATGGCCGTATTTTGGTGAGGTGATACGTATTTATCAATTAGGTATTACTTAGCATCCAGCACCTTGTTTTGAGCCATTTTTTTAAATCACCTTTGTTTGGTGCACCTTTTTATATAAATTGAAAGCGGTGTGCAAATAAATTGCCGCGGCTACTAAAGTCTCCACATCATCCACATCCATAATATACAGGAAAACGAAATCTACACTAGTAAATGACCAATAAAAACTGACAACTGAACGTTGGTCACCTGGTAACCAACTCAGTGGCCCAACTAGTTGGCCCAACGTGTAAACACTGTCGGCATTGGCCCAACTTATTTGGACCAACTTGTTGGCCCAACTAGTTGGCCGAACGTGTACAAGGGCCTTTAGTATCATGCGTTGGGTCCAACGTTTGTACCGAAAAGTTTGACGGGTTTTTATTCGACAAATGTTTCTCGCTACACGGTGCGGGTGCGGCACGTGCTGGATCACACCAGATTGGCCGAACCGTTTGTCAAACAGTTTCAACATGGATGCAGATGGTGCAAGTGCAACGTCATCATTTTCTCCAGACCTGGAAACCGAAACAATTACCTACTGTCGCTGCTGCCGTGGTAATCATTTTTGCAAGGTAAGGTCCGTGAAGTTAGCAGCACATTGAAGGCACAAATGTCGAGACTAGGTGGGTTGGTTAGTGCTTCGTTTGTGCCGGTTTGTGCCGTAAAAAGTTTGCCAGCAAAACATACCGTTTGGAAGTTATTTCGATTTTTAGATGTGCTGCTAACTTCGCACACTTTTGTCGGCACAAATGTCGAGACTAGGTGGGTTGGTTAGTGCTTCGTTTGTGCCGGTTTGTGCCGTAAAAAGTTTGCCAGCAAAACATACCGTTTGGAAGTTATTTCGATTTTTAGATGTGCTGCTAACTTCGCACACTTTTGTCGGCACAAATCTCGGGACTGGGTGGATTGGTTAGTGCTTCGTTTGTGCCGGTTTGTGCCGTAAAAAGTTTGCCAGGAAAACATACCGTTTGTAAATTATTTCGATTTTTAGATGTGCTGCTAACTTCGCACACTTTTTTCGGCACAAATCTCGGGACTGGGTGGATTGGTTAGTGCTTCGTTTGTGCCGGTTTGTGCCGTAAAAAGTTTGCCAGCAAAACACACGGTTTGGAAATTATTTCGATTTTTAAAGGTTTTGCTAATAGGCCAGTCATTGAGGATTTTTACCTCGAAATAACTCGGGAAGTACAGAAATTTTGTATGCTTGAGTGCGTAGAGCTAAAATTCATAAAATGCACAATTCTAAACTTGCCGCCGGGGCCGCCATCTTGCCAAGATGGCCGTCAAAAGCGGTTTTCCGTCGATATCTCCAAAACTGCGCATTTTACGAGAAGATATGTGGTGAGCAAAATTAAAGAAACGAAAATTTCCTACAAAAAATGGTGTTAGCATATTTTCACTAAAGTTAGCCCTTACGCAGAAATTCAGAAATTTTTAATAACCAGTGGCGTATATTTTATCCAAATAATTCATTAATTATTTAATTAATTAATCAAATTGATTAATCAATTAGTCTATGATCAATTAATTTTAAGATTTAAGATTTTATCTTCAATGGTGAGACATATCAATTTTCAAATTGTATTAGTTAAATCAATCAGTTATATACTGTTATATTCAATCCCTTTAAGCCAGCATTATGGACTTTATTTGTTTGGTTTGTGATTTGATTATTTATGTTAATTTTACGTTAAGAGCGCCATACCTATACTCGTAGCACGTGACCTTGCACGTGACTAATTGATATGCAGCTCTAACCACACCATCACACTCCCACGCAAGAAAACCATGCGCCACTGTTTCTCTTTGTATCCCTAATGCCCACTTAGCACTTACTTTTGATTACCTTCGTTAGGCGGCGCCACCTCACAGTCGCTTGAAAGGAAAATTTCTTTTTTCCATTAATAATAATAAAATACTGCCTTGAAGTTATTGTTTTATGGACTAAAATCTCTAAAATAAATTACTATAGCATGGAATGGTCAGAATAAACGCTTTCCATGATAGACTATGAATTAGAAATGACAGTAAAAAAATTTCAGATAATGATCCACCGTCAAAAAAACCTTACGGTTTGGATTCCAGTTTAAAGTTTTTAAATGAGTATTTGAAGTTGTTCTTTAATCAATTTCAATATCAATATCAAAAATCAAAACTTAACTTTTCCGCACGGTAGGCATCTGTTGAGACCCAGCACTTTCTTTTCATTGGATTTACGTCTCATACATCGCTTCGCCTTTTATTGAGCGAAGTATGTAATCGATTTGGCAATTAACTACATGGATGTTCAATTTGATTTACCGTTAAAATTTCACAAAAATTGGTCAACAAATAAGAAATTTACTTTTGCACATGCGCGAAAGAAGCTTTTGATATGTTTGAAATAATCGATCGATTTGCCTTTAGTAAAGGATGCTAATGTTAAAATTTCAGTAAGATCGGTACATAAGTAACAAAGTTACTTTTGCGCATGCGCAGAAGATTACGGCCTACCAGCTTGGAAATTAATGGGTGCCTTCTCCACGCGGCAAGGACTGAAAAAATGTACGCAATTTGTCCCATTCAATTTTGAATTATCGTGCTAATTACAACCCGGACAACGACGACGGACTTTTTTCTGTGATGAAAACAATACTTTACTTACCCATATATGGGTGCGGAAAAGTAATATCATAGATGATACCTATATGCGATTTATATACACTTATTTTGTATATACAACGGCAGAACTTAGGGATTCTTATCTACCTATTTCATGTAGTGCAATCGGATTTAGCAGATTTGGACTTATATAACAGTTATCCCCTGAGTTCTTTACCATTTGGAGCAGAGTTGGACTGGCTCAAACATAGAGTGACCCAGTTAGTTTACTGACCCAGTGACCCGGTGCCCCAGTGACCCGGCGACCCGGTGACCCAGCTTGACCCGGTGGCCCAGTTTAAACCGTTGACCCCTAGGTTAATCCAGTTGAATCCGGTGAACCAGTAATTAAATTATTGTTAGGTATCATCCAAAACAATTTCAAGTAACTTTTAATTTTAAAAAAACTTCCTCAATAATATTCGCCAACAAGCACGCAGCCCAATTTCATTCAAGAGAACTAATACCTAAAGAATCAAATGCATTTGTTTATAATTTGTAGTCAAGTATAGTCAATGAAAGTATTTAGAAAAAAGATTTATTTGGATTAAGCTAACTAGTAGAAAAAAATTAAATGTGAATGAACACCTGTAAGCAAACTGGTAAATCCTGAAGCAAAGAAATGAAGGAGGGAACTGTTTAGAAATAATATTACTCTAATACAATTCGGGACATGGAAAGTTTTTTACGGCAGTATTAAAGCAAACATCACAGAAAAGGCAGTTGTCAAGCAATCGAGTATTATTTTCAACAAACCAGCATTATAAGTTTCATTTATTTCATAATCTCTACACTTGAACCACGGGCACTGACTTAACTGCGTTATTCGATC